GTTTTTCCTTTTTTTTCCTTTTTTTTTTATTAATAAAGATAAAAGGAAAAAAAGGAAAAAAAAAGTTTTACCTTACCTGAATAATATTAAATCCTTTACGTAAATAAAATTTATTAAATTTATTTTTACGCGTAAAAAAAATTGAAATATCATCATCATCATCATCATCATCATTTTGTCCGTTATCATTATTAATATTATCACTGCGATAAGTCAAAAAATAATAATAATAATAATAATTTTTTTGTGTGTGGTTACGATTCGAATAATTAAAGGAAAAAAAATTTTTTTTTTTCTTTCTTTTCCGGAGTTTTCTTTTTTTTTTTTTTTTTTTCATTTAAATGAATTGAAACGTTCTAGAAAATTTACCGGACGTTCGTTAAAAAACGAACGTTTTACGAATAATCCATTTTAATAATAATAATAATAATAATAATAAGCTTTTATATAACATGAAATAATAATAATTATATTGATTTATTTTTTAATAATAATATTTATTATATAATTACGTAATCATTTTATTTTTCATTTCTTTTTTCTTTTATTTCATTATTATTATTATCATCATTATTATTATTTTTGTTGATAAAATACGTTAAATAAACGAGGAAGTTTAAACTTTTTTTTACGGCGAGAGGTTTTTTTTTTTTTTTTTAATGACGTTTTGTTGTATGTGAAAAATGGAAAAAAAAAAAAAAGAAAAGTTTTTTCTCTCACACACCTTTTACTTTTTTTTTTTTTTTTTAAATCTTATTATTTTATTTTATACATCTATTTATAAATATTATTATTATTATTATTATCATTATTTAGAGAATTTGTATACGGCTTTAATAAAAAAAAAAAAAAAGGAAAGAAAGAAATTAAAAAAAAAAAAAAGCCATCATCATCATCATCGTCGTCTTTTTTTTCGTTTTTTATTTTAGAATTTTTCCTTTTTTTTTTTTTTTCTTAAAAAAGTTTTCTGATGGTAAAATTCCTTTCTTTCTTTCCTTTTTTTTTCTTCCTTTTTAATTTTTTCCTTTTTTTTCTTTTGATAAATAATAAAATGAAATTCACCATCATCAGAGATTTAAATATAATTTCTTTAAGGAGTAAAAAAAAAAAATTTTTTTTTTTTTTTTTTACCCTCTTTCTAAAATTTTCTTCATTTTCTATAAACAAAAACGAAAGAAAGAGAGAGAGAGGGGTGGGGTGGGAAAACCTTTTGAACTTTGAACCAATAAAGAGAATCAGTAAAAGGCGTAAAAACGGTGCAAGAAAATAAAAACACAACTTTTTTCTTTTTTTTCTTTTTTTTTTTATTATCGACCCGAAATTTTTTTTTTTTTTTTTTTTTTTTTACCATAAAAACCATTTTCCGACTTTTCTTTTTTTTTTTTTTTAATAATAATAAATATATATAAAAACTTTTATTAAAAAATTATCATTATCATTTATTTATTTTTCTCGTTTTATTAAAAAAAAAATACTCGAAAATAAACAAAACATTAATAAATTAATTTTCTAAACTCTCGCTCTCTTTCTCTTCCTTAGAAAAAAAAAAAAAAAGTTTTTAAATAAAAAATGATTAATAATAAATAATTTTATAGAAAATGTCGTAGAACTTTTCTTTTTTTTTTTTCTAAATCAAAAATAATAATAATAATAATAATAATAAAAGAAACAACGATAAATATAAAATCAGAATAAAAAAAATTAATTTTTTTTCATAAACGTGTAATTTTTCAATCTAATCAACCGTGTAAAAAAAAACTGACAGCCTCGTTACAATGTAATTTGTCATTTTGTCGCAAAAAAAAAAAAAAATGTTTTTGTTTCATTTTGAAAAAAGAAATTAAAAGAAAAAAAACCGTTTTTAATTAATTTTATGCAACATTAACTAAATTATATTATTTAATTCAAAGAAAATTGTTATTAATGTCGCCATTTTTCGTAATTATAACAAAAAAAAAAAAAAAAACGTGCATCCACATTTATTGATTTCGAAACAAAAAAAAATTACCTTCTCCTCATTATCATTATTATTATTATTATTATTATTAAAATAAAGAATTTATTTTAAAGAAAACAATAATGGAGTGTGAACGAAAATAAATTTTTTTCCCCTTTTGGAGGTTTTTTAGTGTTTTGAAAAAGGACCGGAAAAATAAATCTTTCTCTCGCAATTTTCTCCCAAATAATAATAATTTTTCACCTATAATTTAATTTAAAGTAAGAAAAATGTTTTTTTGTTTTACTCCCTGTCCCCCTTTTCCACTTCCCCTCCGTTCCCCTTCACCTTCCCTCCCTCCACGACCGATAATGATAATTTTTATAAAATAAATAATTTAGAAAGAGAGAATTATTATTATTATTTACCAGATTTTTTCTCTTTTTTTAATCATATGTATAAACTTATTCAATGATGATAAAAAAAAAAAAAACTAAAAGAGGAAGAAAGAAAAAAGAAAAAGAAAAAGAAAAAATAGAGAAAAGGTTTGATTTTAAAACACAACGTTTAATACGTCCCTGGAGGAGTTTTTCCACTGAATAAATAATCTGGAGAATGGGAAATTGATTTCAAAAACTGTTTAAAGAGATCTATCTGCCTTTCAAAAATAAACTTAATTGGTAAAATACATTTCCAACTTCTATTAAAAGACTTTGAAAAGAAAAAAAAAATTTCTTTTCAAAGTCTTTTTACCCTTTTCTTTCCCTCTCTCTCTCTCTCTCTCTCTCTCTCTCTCTCTACCCACACACACACATATATATATTCAGATGGGTTTTTTTTTTTTTTTGGTCTTACTTTCAAATATATATAACCCACATAATGTCAATAATAATATCCCCATATCCCCCCCCCTCAAAAAAAAAAAAGAAAAAACTTGAGAGGAAGTTGGATGGATAGAATAAGAAAATTAAAGGTTGAAAACTGAAGAAGATTTATTAGGGTTGAACAATATCAGACATTGAAGACTTTTAATTATGAGAAGAAATCGGAAACAATCGAACGTTTAATTTCCGGTTGTTCGATATTGGCAAAATATGAATATCTGGAAAAAAATAATTCCTGTATAAATCGATTAAACACCAGACAGACAATGTGAGGAGTAAAGAGGACAACTATTCCGATCATCGTGGGAACCATCAGGAGCCACATGTGGCACACATTCCAATAAAAGAAAATTCCCTAAAAAAAAATTCTCTCCCGAATTTAAAAGAAAAAATTGTACGGGAAGAAATCACGTCATGTGGGGGGGGAGGCCATATAGAGACCACACCGAACGAAATCTGAGATTAAAAGAAACCTGGAATAAATGCTTAAAAATTCACACAAAATCCAGTAAAAGTGTGTTCAAAAGTTAATAATAATAATAATAATAATAATAATAATAATAACGGAAACTGATTTTACGTTTCGAATGAGAAGAAAAGAAAAAACCACACATGTAAAAAAAAAAAAGGCAATAATTCAAGGTTTTCCCATTTTTTCCTCTTTTTTCTTTTCTTTTCTTATTATAATTCTCTACCGGATAATATTTTTATCAATAATTAAATTATTATTATTATTATTATTATTATTATTATTATTATTAAGTATTATTAATAACAATATGCTACAATGTGAAGCATTAATTTTAAAAAAAAAAAAAATTTAATTTACTTATTGAGAAATTTAATAAAGTAATAATAATAATAATAACGAGGAGTCAATAATTAAAAAAAACAATAAATAAAAATATACCATTATTATTATTATTATTATTATTATTATTATTATTATTATTTTGCAATAAAAAAACGTATACGCGACGTTCCGTTATCAGAAAGAGAGAGAGAG